TCCTACCAGGTCTAGACTGGCCTCCGCACCTGCCCACCATGTCCTCAAAGGCTCCCACCCGCTATCTAGCTTTCCGCGGGTACATCCAACCCGCGGTCTCTAGGCACACCGAATGCAAAATCCTTGGAATTGGTAGCTCTCCAGCCAACGATTGTTCAGTATTTACCACCTTCTACCACCTCCTACCCCTACTCCACAGCTTCCCCTGAGTCTCTCCTTTTTCACTCCCCGCCCCCCCCCCCCATCTCTACACTTCTGATCTGGATACAAACAGGATCCCAAGTCCAGGCCTACAGGCAGCAGCTGTGGGCAGGTGACATCCACTGTGTTTTCTTTGAACTGCAGGGTTAAATGTGTTGGCCTTGAAGAAGGAGCTGCCTGATTTATTGTAACCCACAAGTCTGGTTATTTCAGCAAGAAACTGGAGAATATTCCCTCGCTACTGAAAGAACAAGTGATAGGAAGGAAGCTAGCATTTATTGATAATCCAGTGTGCTGCAAAATTAGCAGAAATGATTTTACCTAATCCTCGCACCACCTTTAGGAGACAGACATTATACCCATTTTGCAGATGAGGAAACTGGGCCTCAGAGAAGCTAGGGAGCTTGTTCAGGGTCACACAGCTAGTACTTAGCACAGCTGAGATTCAAAAGCAGATTACATATGTGACAAAATTGCACCAAACTAAGTACACAAATGAGTACACACAAAAGTGGTGACATTTGAATAAGGCCCTAGGACTGTATTAATGTCTGTTTCCTGGTTGTGATATTATACTACAGTTATTCAAAATATTACCATTGGGTAAAAGGTCTATAAGGGATCTCTCTATACTATTTCTTAAAACTTAAAGTGCATCTACAGTTGTCCCCAAATTAAAAGTTTGTTTTTAAAGCATATCAGTCTTATTTTAGAACCGAGTTCTCTTCTTTCAACACATGCTCCCCCCCCCTTTTTAATACTCTTGTGCACACACACACATTCATATACTTTATGCACGGTTCCGTCCAGTAGTAATTACACAACACACAGACAAACTGTTAAGTGAATAGCTAACTTGTGACCAGAATACTTACATAGGTGTCATCTTATAGAGAAGAATGTTCACTGGGGAGGAAAACAGCCAACAGTCTTAGAAGGTAAGAATGAAGGGATGTTTCCTTGTTTCACTTAATCTCTGCCATGGGAGCCTCATCCTACTGGTTCTCTCTCCAAGCATCCCTTTTACCTGCAAGAATCCTTAAGGTTGGGATTGCTCATTAATTCAAAATGGTGATTCTTGGGAGTCAGGGGATGCTGGAGGTGGCATTCACTCCCTGTGGAGAAAGGTCAGAATTGGTGGGGGTTGTTTGGTTTGAGAAACACAAGATACTCTTTCTTGAGAGGGGTGAGTGGGGTGGAGTTAATGCTGGGACTAGAAACCTGCAATGACATCCAACCCCCAGCCTTGCTACAAAGGAGGGGTGAGTGTGGAGCATGGCTACTTTGTGGTGTAGCTTTGCAAGGACAGTCTTACCAAGGCAGATAATTTAATACCATGTGCCTGCAGTTTAGGTTGCACGGGGTGAAAGGTTAATCTTAGTCCAGTCTAGAGTCACTGGAAAAAAGCAGGGACTTACCTTAGAACCTAACACTTGAGCTTTTCTCTGTTAAACAAAAATGAAGATAGCAAAAAAAAGTAGCCAGGCTCCTATGCAATAGAAGGAAAAAAATGAAAAGAGACGTAAACATTTACCCAGCCTTTACAAACCACATTTCCCTTTTATCTGTTGCAGTTTGTCTGCCTCTGATATTAACTCTCAATTTATAAAGAGCCTTGTTCGGGGACTCAGGATCCTTAAAGTATTAGGGTAGGTGAGGTCTTTGAATGGCTTTTGGCAACATTTTTCAGTATTGGATTGGTTTTCTCAGGTGGCTAAAAGCTCTAAAAAGTTAACCAAAGAATAATCCAGGGAAGAGAAAGTTATTCTTTGTTTCTTCTTGAAGTAACTTTGTAATGATTAGTTTAAAGTCAGGACAACAAAAGTGAATTTTTTTTTAAAAAAAAAGGAGAGAGAGAAAATTCAGGCTTTGTTAATTTCCTTGGGATCTACAGAGTTATATTTCTTTTCTGGGCAAGGAAAGCCCATAGTTCTAACCAAACTCAGTCTACCCTTTCCTAAAGTCACAGTCGGGTATAAATTATTTCTTAGTCACCATACAATTAAAAACAAAGCAAAACAGTGGCACCTGGGTGGCTCAGTCAGTTACGCGCCTGCCTTTGGCTCAGGTCATGGTCCCAGGGTCCTGGGATAGAGTTCTGCGTTGGGCTCCCTGCTCTGCAAGGAGCCTGCTTCTCCCTCTCCCTCTGCTGCTCCCCCGTTTGTGCTCTCTCTGTCAAATAAATTAATAAAATCTTTAAAAAAAAAAAAACATAAAATAAACTGAATTTAACTAAGGACATCCTACTAGCATTTATTCTAAAACATTAAAAACAGTTTTAGTATTTTTCTATCCTGAATGATGTGCCAAACCCAAGCTTTTGTTAAACCTAACAGTGAGGGGGATTACCAATCAAGTAGTTAACTCAAGGTAGCTGGAGGAACAAAATCATTAGCCTAGCACATTGTAGATTCAATAACCTGTAATCAGCTACTAAGTAAAATGATAGAAGCAGAAAACAGAGCTACATGTTCGTTACTCTCTTAAAAGAGACTGCTTATAACAACTTTCACTTCTTGAGCCATATTTACTGGAATTAATTCAGAATGCCTGCATCTATGAGCACAGTCCCCTGGGGAAGAACTTCTCTTCTCACATCTATAAACGATATTTTCCCAACTTTGTTTTTTATGTGAACATTAGAACATAAATACTTTGTAACTGTTCCATCCAAAACTTGAATAAATGATTAACTGCTGATATAAACTGCAACAAATATTAACTGCTGATATAAATTTCAAAAAAGTTGCTCACTTGCATATTCCCCATAATCTTGATAAAATTCCATTCCATTTGTAAATAAGATGAAAACATCTTTTTGCAAGCCTCAGTCTCTCCACAAGCTCCTGCCCAACAGATGTAAGCTCAATAGCCAGAATTCAAACCACTTAATTTATTGGCTTACAGATGAATTGGCATCTATAAAAATAAACCTCCTGAAAAGGCTTTAGGCTGCTTGAATCCGGCTAACTTGTCAACCCTTTATCAATGTAAGACTAATAAAATGTATTTTCATTATCAACATAAAATGGAAGCATCAAGATTGGTGTAATGTTAGTTTAGAAAGTCATCTGCAGTGACATTTAAAACAATTTATTTTAACATCTGACTTATGATAAGAATATTGCCTATTAAATTAAGGTTGGCTGTTCAGCATTCACTGGGGCCCTATTCTCCCCCTCTGTGACAGTTAACATCTTTTGATATCAAGGGTCATCACATACCGAAAATGAAAAAAGACGAAGACAGACACCAGGCCATTCTGAGCAAATGCCTATTAAAATGACTGATCCCTGACATTTTAATGTGAAGTCTGTGCTTCTGATAGCTTCCTTTCCTTTGCCCCTGTAAAGCCTTCTGCCCTGGCAATATCTTTATTGACGCCCAACCCATTTGGAACATCTGTTAGTCCTTCCCTTTATCTCTACTGCAGTTCAGAATGCTTTCCCCTGTGGAATCGCCAGAGAACAGGTGAAAATAAACCTGCAAATGAACTCCCCAGGAGTTCACTTCACCTCCCTAAGAACACTGACAACAGCTGAAGAGACAACAAACTGGTTGTTCAGCCAGCCTGTGATGTTACTTTTACACACAGTCTGGAAATCTTCACAACCCGCCCCTCAACTCCAGAGCAAGATCTGCCAATATTTCAGGTCATCCACCAGAAGATTCAAGATAAAATTAAGCTGACACAGGAAAAATACATTTCCTTGTAGAATGTCAAGCCTCTGGAAACAAGCAGGCATAAATTTTTGTCAACGTATTTAAGGGAGCCCCACTGAGAAATCTTCCATGGTCTCAGGAGCTCAGCCCATATGCTGGGATAGACTTTATCGGGATTCTAGCTACCATGTCAGTCACAAAAGACAACTAGGCAATCTGTTTTGATTTCATAAATTCAGAGTTAAGTTGTATGGCAAGTCCATCTCAGGAATTCCTCTGTCCCTGTTAAGAAGGCACAGGATCTCATAATAGCTAAGTTGTCGAAGCAAGGTACATGGTAGGGCAATCTTTCCACCCCCCATTGTACGTGCACCTCGACCCGGGTTTGTCGGGGCTGGGGTCAGGAAAACGCCTCTTTCTTTCCCTCTCTCTCAACTTCACAGACAGAGCTTTCCGCAGTAAAGTGTTTCCATCAGCTTTGTCCTTTTGTCAGGGACCAGTTTGGTAGTCGCAGAAGCCCAGCCCTGGGAACCCTGGAAGCTTCTCCCGCAGCACTCCACACTTCCATTCCGCTGGTCTGGCGATCAAGGTTTTCAGGCAATAACCGCATGTCATTTGGTCCTTTTCCCCTTAGTTCTTAGTCATTGCACTGGCAAAGTCTTTCCATATGCGCTTCTCCCACACGCCTTCTAAGATGCCGCCCCCCGCCCCCCTTCAGGGCCCCAAACAGCTCTCCGCTGCTCAGAGTCCAGGCTTATCACCTCGGGTTTCCCCAGACAGGTTTCTCTTCAGCTGCTCAATCACAAGGCTGCCTGGGTGGCACAAGGCAACAGAACCACCACCCTTTCTGCTCCCTCCGGGACTCAAGTCCGCTCCTGGGTCTACACACAGTAGCGGCTTTGAGCCGGCGGCCGCGGGCTGGGACCGCACGGGCGGCTGAGGCGCCCAGACCCCGCTGTGCGGCCGTGCGGGGAGGCGGAGGCGCGGCGGGAGGGCGGGCGCGCCGCCCCGGTCCCCGGCAACCTGTGATGCAGGTGCGTCTCCGACCCGCCTGCCCATCGCACCGCCAGAAACCTCAGACACCCCATTGTGTCACCAGGCGGCACGCCGTCTCGGCCCCCGCCGTCCTCGCCTACCTTCTGGCGGCCTCTCCGTTGCGCCCGCACCGCCGGCCGCCTGCCTCCAGGGCCCTGCAAAGCGAAGGAGGATGCTTTGTTAGGGCTCGCGAAGCGGGACAATACTTCGCAGCCGACGCCGTGGTTCCGGGCGGGCGTCCTTCAGAAGGACGCGACTGGGGACCCGCGCGAGCGTCATTTCCATATGTAAGGAGCCAGCTCGTACAAAAGCGCGGCTC